ACCTTTTTTAACTGACCTTGAAAATAAATATAATGATTCGGAAATAAGAGACCGAGATAAAGAGAAAAAAAGAGTAAAATAAATTAAATGAAGACAGGAAGAGGAAAGCTACAGAAAGAGAATTAGAAGTTGGCGAGAAAGTCTATGTAAAGAATGTAATAAAAGAAAATAAATTAGCTTCTGAATTTAATCCGACACCAATACTGTTATCAGTGCCGAGGGAAGCGACATAAATGTCAGGAATGACGAAACAGGCCAGGAATATAGGAGAAATATAGTTCACCTCAAGAAAGTAGAAGGTCAATGGAAAGTAATTGATAATGAAGAAAATTCTGATAAAGATGTTTAATTAATAATAGATAGATTTAAATGGAAAATATTGTTTTGTTGATTTAAGTGGAAAATATTGTTTTGTTAATTTAAATGAAAAATACTGTTTTGTTCATTGAAATGAGAAATATTGTTTTGTTGATTGAAATGAAAAATATTGTTTTGTTGATTTAAATGAAAAATATTGTTTTGTTGATTTAAATGAAAAATATTGTTTTGTTGATTTTAATGAAAAACACTGTTTTGTTCATTGAAATGAGAAATATTGTTTTGTTGATTTAAATGAAAATATTGCTTTGTTGTTTCTAAATAATTGTATTTAAAATTGAAATAACTTGTGATTAAAATAATTATTTAACATATAAAAAGGAAGAGATGTGACATTTAATAAATTATAGTACACATATCAACTGTGGCGCGTCACTAGCACTTCGATCTGTCATCGGAGGCGGGAGAACGTTCTCTTGAGTTGTGTATTTACTTACTGATAATTTGGTGGTTTTATTTATAATTCTGAGATATAAATACAGAACATCACAGGAACCCTTATTAATTGTGTCCCCTTCAATTGCTTGTTTGTCAATCAGTTCTCAGTTCTTTTGTGATCACGTGGAGGCCAACAGAGTGAAATGCGCACAAGGTTGTCAGGATAATATTAACAATTTTAAATTACCATTTATGGAGGTACATTATTTAGTGCAGATGATTTTGTAAATGTGTATTTGGGTAATATGAGATATAAAATCCTTAAGAGATCATTTCCAAAGAAAATGTACATTGTTGCGAAGTAAGAAGTACGTATTGCATATTTTAAATAATGCTGGCCTTTATTTATTTGTGAGACATGAGACGTTTTTTCGATTTAAACTATCAAACCAACATAGAACTACAATATCATTCTCACTTGTAAGATTTTTTAACCACGCAAATATTTTCACTTTATGCTATTTTGTAAACATTCTTGTTTGTAAATCCAATCTTTAAGCCATGATCGATTTTTCTCGTTTCTATACGAGTGAGCGAAGGTACAGTTAAATTGTATTTCATACGATCCAAACTTCATGGCTAGATTGGGGAGACTAAATAAGCAATAAAATATTATATTTTTCATTAAGTAATATTAAGATTATTAAACATTATTTATAATAATAAGTTCTTTTTGGTCCACCCTTCTTTAATTAAGAAGAATACAAAGATAGACGAAAAGAGGAGAGAAGTATTAAAGCCCATCAGTTGCTTTATACTTAACACGATTTTGCATTGTTAATTAAACACGGAAATTGTTAGAACAAATTTTTTCCAATACAGTATTCATAAACTCGTCAAAAATGTATTAGATAAAGAAAAGGACTGCACTCAATCGATATTTAAATATTTATTATAAATTCAAAAAAGTTTTTATATATAAAAGATGTCAAGAAGAATAAACAAGGTTCTTTTTTGTAAAAGTTTTTTCCAGTTCTTGAGCCTCAAACAAAAGAAATTTAATAAGTTATGATTGATAACAAACTGTCAGATACCCAAACTTTGTATATTTCTAGTCCATTTTTTTAGTTAAAGTAATAAAATATTAAAATTTTAATGCGCTTGTCGTGTACTCTGACTGTTGAAGTCATTAATGTTCCATTTAGAGTATCAAACGAATTTCAACGTGTATGGAAAGGTAATTTCCACAAATAAAAAAGATTACTAAATTTACTTCATAAAATCTTCTCTACAAAATAGTTTAGTTCTCTATTTAAATTTTATAAAGATAACTTAAGAATAATGGATAGGTATAATTTTTTAAATATTCTTCTCAGAGCTATATATTATATTCGTGGGTAATAATTGTATGTGTTAATATATTTTAAGTAAATAAAATTTTTTCATTAAAAATAAAAAAGATTATATAATAAAAAAAAAAGAGATTATAGATCAATTAATACCAATAACCACTTTAGTACCAGAATTTTCGTATGAATAAGAAACTGAAAGATTTGATTAAGTTACAAAATGAGGAAGAAAAATTATTTTTATTATCTTAATTATTTTCTGCTAATGTACCTTAAGTAACGACTACCGTGATGACATAAAGACAAACATAGATTATTATAGTTATTATGTTTCATTTACATGTTTCCCTTACGATTTGACAAATGATTTGTTTACAATTGATAATTTAAGTATACATAGAGATTAAATAAGTATACGTCTCATGTGACTATTTAAATAATTATTTTGTTTGACAATATAATGTTGGAATCAGTGCTATTAAAATCTAGAAGAAAATGTGATGTTCATCGCTCCAATGCTTGCACAATTTGGCTTCCAACGACTCAATTCTCTAGGGTTGAAACAAATAGGTTTTGATGAATAGATTACTCGTTTTCAATATTAATGTACACGTTTCTATATAAATTAAAGTTGTAATTTTTTTAGGATATAATATTCTATTAATTTTATTATTTAAAACAGGTTTTTCAAATAAGTTTTTAACATGCTTTTCATTTTAGTGCATACTTTACAAAAAAAGTCAAAAAATAGTATTTATTTCAATGATTAGGGCTCGCTTTTTACTTGTTTTGTTTTTAAACAGGAAATTCATAATATTTACTTATGCTTCATTTCCACTGTGATATATTTACCATGATTAATATGTTAGTATCTAGCAACTTCCCTACTAAATATCAATGTAAGTAAATCAATTAAATTTAGTTATAAAATATCGTGGTTATCCTAAATTCGGAAACAACCCTATTCTTTCATACCCAAGCCAACAGTAAAACTATTATGATCGGTTGATTGCAACTCAATCGCCTCAGTGCGTGGTTTATTTACTAGAATTTACACACTATTATACTGAGAGACAAATGTTTTATAAATACATTTAATACTTATCACATGACAAAATGTATTATAAAAATAAATAAATGTATAGATAAGAAGTAATAAGGGATTCAGACAATATATATTATTACTTTTCCTCTTGTTTGTTGAATGATAAAAAATATAATTAGTTAAAATACATATTAACTTAAAGAATTACATTGTTTATTTTCCTCGAACAGTTAGCATGGTTATTTGGTGATTAGTATTTCGATGTTATGTACAAAATCATGTTCAAATATAACAAAGAAGTCATTTTTAAAATATTAGTTTAACTAATTAATGAGTGTCATATTTTTTAAGGCTTATAATGTTTCTTAAAGGAAACGTATCTAACAACTTGTATGGTTTATTATATTCTTAGCTCATTGTACACAATACATTTTTTAGTCCCTTCTATTTTAGTTCCTAAAGTCCGGTTCATTTTTTTCTAAATTATTTATTTACGTCTTTAAATTTCCTTATATTTTTCTAGTGACCGAACACAAATGCAGTCAACCGTTTTTTATCATATTCGTACATCGTTTTATTGTGTTATTATATAAAACTTGAATAAAAAAAGGTCCCATATTTAAGGTTCATAATAAAAAATCACTTGAATTGATTGGAATTGCATTGATTGACATTTCATTACCGAAATGCAATAAAAACAATATTATTTCGAATTCAAACAAACATCATTAAAACAAAAGAAAAAAAAACACGTTCTGTTCTATTTGTATACAAAAATATACAATTAAAAATGTTTATATATATTTTTATAAATGATTAATTTAATTAATTGATATTCGTAAATAAAAAATAGTTAAATGTAAGTTTAAGTTTTAGTTCGGATATATTAAATTGTTTAAGTAAAAATATTATTAATTCTGTGTTTACTATAAATCAGTACAGCGTGAAGTCTAATAACTTGTAGCAGTTAACAGGTGTTCGCGAACATAAACTTTTCTGGTTCAAATAAGATATATTCATTAAATCACTTACCTTATATTTTTAACTTATTTTAGGAAATCATACCTTTTACTTAGAGTCAGAAATGGGCCACGGAATCAATACACCTTTGTTTAGTTTCCAGTTCTGCTTATCATAACATTAAACTGCGAATCTGAGCGTATAAAGGTCACTTAAAATATCTTGCGAACTTGAAATATTGTGCTTTAAATTTGTGTTTATTTATTATAATGTATAAAATTATTGCTTAATGAGGCCGTGGTTAGTTTATAATTGTTATATTGCTAAGGTTATGTTTAGTTAAGTTAGCGGCCACGCGCGGCGCTGTCGGCGGCCGACGGCGGGCGACTGAACGCTCAGAGTGCTTATTGCTGTAAGACAAATTTTGCTGTAACGCTCCGTGCCGCAAATATGCTGTCCCAACTTAGAGCATCGCATCCCATAAGAGGAAATGGGACAGAACAATGTTAGGCGTAAAAATTCTTCTTCGAAGTCCCCAGTCTATGTAATTTATATTCGATTTGGAATTGATCTATACTTCTTTAACCTTTATTGCAGATATTGTGTTAAATTTCTTTTTATTTATCAAAAATGTTTTTAATAAAAGTTAATAGTTTTTAAAGAAAAAAAGTTTTTTTTTTAATAATGCCGCAATCTCTTTATAGGCTATTCTACTTAAAATCATTTGATAGCAGTACTTTCTTCTCTGCGATAAAAACATTTATGGTTGCAGTAAAATGCATTTTACAACGATAATTAAATTCGCAACGCTATTTTTCTATTCCAACATCAAACGCTTGACATGTCATTTGAAAGATTTAGGCGAGTCGTCGATAAATTGGAATCATGTGATGATGAGCATGGAAAAGAGGATAATTGGTGGCTCAGAAACGGATCTAGCCCACTATCCTTATAATGTACAGTTTTATAATCTCGGCGGACTCTGCGGCGGTTCGATACTCACTAAGAAAATAGTGCTAACAGCCGCTCATTGCTTTGATTCAAACCAAAATTTGGCTGAGATGAAAATATTTTCAAGTGATAATAATATACTACTTTTTTCTCTAAGTCTACGTTTCCTTGAATTAAATTTAATATGCATATTGCAGAACCGCGTTACCTGTTCGATCTCCAAGCAAACTCTCATGATGTATGGGATTTTCGTATTCATGAGGACTATGGAAAGGCATCTGTTTTCGATAACGACATTGCCATAATTATAATTCACAACGAGTTCGTCTTCGGTAAACAAGTTCGTACTATTAAAATAATTAATAACCTGCATTGGTTAAAAGAAAACGAAACATTCACTGTCACTGGATGGGGAGAAACTAAGGTGGAGTTGAAATATATTCGTCGAAGATATTTTTGGTACTAGATTTTGTTAGATATATAATTTTTATATTTTACAGTATGGAGAAGGCATTGATAAATCGGTTTTTAGACAGGTTAAACTACGTTATATTAGTAAACAGATGTGTATGAAAATGAACAGAATTACTTTGGACCCAGAGATGTTTTGTCTTTATGGGGATGGAAAGAGAGATTCCTGTAGAGGTGACTCGGGAGGCGGAGTGCTTTGGAAGGGGTAATACCCATTATTAATAGTAATATTTATAACATACTAGCTTTCCGCCCGCAGCTTCGCCGGCGTGAAGTTTGGTTATATCGCGTTTCCAAGAGAACCTTTCAAAAGTCTAGGATAAAAACTATCCTATGTTCTTTCTCAAGGTCAACTCCATCTCTTTACCAAATTTCATTAAAATCAGTTCAGTGGCTTAGGCGTGGAAGCGTAAGAGACAGACAGACGGACAGACAGAGTTACTTTCGCATTTATAATATTAGTAGGGATATTTTTATATGTATGAAGTCATAGTCATATAGAAGTATATGTATAATTAAGTTTAATGCATTACCTTATATTTAATGGTATACATACATTTAATTTATATGATGTCTATACTGGGATGCAATATATTTTATCATTTTATTTTGGTCCAGACACCTGGTGGGTATCGTGTCACACGGCAAGGGGTGTGGTAGTTTGCCGGGTGTATACACTAATGTCTTCTATTACAAGACCTGGATCGGAAAGAATATTGCGGATCTTTATAAGAAATTTTGCGGCTTTCATTAAATACTACCCAGAAAAATAAAGAAAATCTTAATGTAATTAAACCTTTTCACTTGAAATTAAATTAAACTATATTATATGTATTTTTCTATTATGAGAAAAATGATTGTCTTGTCCTTTTGTTTATTTACAATAAAATTTTATTATAAGCATGTTTTTAGAAAATCCATTTGATTTGTTATCAGTGTAATGATGACATAAATAAGTAACTGAATAATATAGGTCAAAACAATTTGTAAAGGCTTTTATATTTTGATACTTTTAAAAGCGTCACCAATTAAAATGTTATTGTTATATATTTAAAATGTTAATTCAAAGGAAATACAAAACAGTGTCCAACAACACATTATACACCTGTACAACTCAGTATCCATTGAGTTTGAGTTGAGTTTATATACTAATTTACTTTAGTTTGTCAATGAAATATTTCACTAACATTTAAATAGTTTAATAATATAAAATATTTTTTCTAATAAGATGAGGCTTTTATTTATAGACTTATTTTAAAATGATTTATTATCGTACCTACAAATATTCTGTATTCTGTTTAAGTAAATATTTTAAAGAAATTGAAATAAAAGTTTTCAACACGATTTTAGAATATTGTTAAGGACGAAATGAACTCAAACCATTAATTAAATACGATTCGTTGATTGTCAATACTGTAAAAGAGGCAATCATTTTTAAGACATCGATAACGGTTTGATTGCTCGTTAGTAATTTATAATTAATTAATGTTCGCTTTCAAGAATACCAATTATGTTTAAGTCAGTTATATATAAAGGTGTTCTATTATATTTTTATATAATATTATCTCTTTGTGTAGGCACAAGGAACGTGTTAAATGAAGTAGAAGGTAGAATTGTTGGCGGTCATCCCATACCAATAGAAAACGCGCCATTCTCAGTGCTCTTTTATAATTACCAGTCTATCTGTTCCGGTGTCATCATAAATAGTTTTATAGTACTGACGGCAGCTCACTGCTTTAATTCAAATACTAAAAAACATCGCATGCGTATTGAAATAAGTAAGTCTTTATAAGGGTAGCTTTTGTTATATAACTCTTTAAGTTGTTTTATACAATTTACACGTAATATATTGAAAATTCTTTAATATTTAGGTATCTTATAAGGGCAATAACAGTTTGCTTTATAGATTTTTGTTTGACAAACAAACACGCCCCGTTTTATAATGTAAGTAAGCAGTTATTATATACATTTAATTTCTTTTCAGATTGTCGTTATTTGTTTGATATCGACGCTGAAACATTTCAAGTGGCCGATTTTATTATACACAAAGATTTTAATAAAGTTATACCTTTTGAAGCCGACCTTGCTTTGATTATGGTTACAGAGAAAATGCTTCTGAATAGACGAAAGCAGAAAGCGTTATTAATGAAAAATGATAACTGGATGAACAAGAAGGCTAACGTCAGCGCTTCTGGTTGGGGTTGGACCAAGGTGAGTACTGTCTTAAAATAATGTTCGATAAATAGTTAGAGAATAACGCTGAAAAAAAAACACAGTGAGAGTATGCCAAATATGTCTTTCAACGGAAAATAAAATTTATAAAGAATATAATCCGTAAATATGAAATATTATACTTGTTTTGAGGAGGTTGATGGAATTACAAAAAAAATAACAGTTAATTAGCTATATTGTGAGAATTTAGATAACTAGTTTGATCAATAGTAATTTGAGCTATAGAGATCATTTCTATTACTTGTAGGTTCAGTGTAACTGCTCAAATTGTTTCATCGCAATGCAGTTATATTCGTTAACTTCATATTTACACGAAATATTTTGTATTTCATTATTGTCATGATTAAATCGAAAGTAATTAAAGTACATTATTTTGTATTTTTCTCTCGTTTTTATTTATCTTCAGGCGATGTACTAATAAAGTTATTGAATCTAACCTTAATCGTACGTCTAGACTTTGTTCAACTTAAACTAGATATAATTGTAAGTAGCTGTTTATTATACTTTATTTATTTTATTTTTAGTACGGCGGCGGAGTATCCGAGCTTGGTTTAATGCGGACGTATTTGGGGTACGTGTCTAGACGGCGTTGCGAGATTCAGCATAGTCTGCGGCTCACAGAGGACATGTTCTGTTTGTACGGGAATGGGGTGAGGGATACTTGTCTGGGAGACTCCGGGGGAGGAGTTACTGTTAATGGGTAAAAACTTTTATATGGTTTCTAATCACACCACTCATTTGATCTTAAAACTTGAACAGGAATAGATCAAATTTGATTTAGAATTACAACTTTTGAATTGACTTCGGACTTTAGATATTCTATTATTATAAATTTTCTCAGTAATGTTGATAATGTATAATAAGAAAGTAGGTAATAATAGAACGAATTTCACGATTGGGCTATATATAAACGAGGGTACGTTACTGAAATTATTTTTAATGTCAGTGGCTATTTTTCCACAATCAAGTAAAGGTTACATTTACATTGTCTTTGACAAAAATACTTTTGTCAATGTAAAAGGAATTTTTGTTTATTATAAAACACACTTTTAATATAATCTTGAACTTAAAATGAATACACGGAACTTTATTTCTAATAAGTTTAAATATTTTAGTAACATCGTTTTATTCTGAAAATTTAATATAGATTGTTATTAACTTTTATATTTTCAGAACGGTGGTTGGCATCGTGTCTCACGGAGATGGTTGTGCAAAGAAAGGTAAACCGAGCGTGTACATTAGTGTTGCATATCACAGAAAATGGATCGAAAAGAAAACCCTCGAGTTATTAAGAAAAAAATGCCATAAAGGCTAAAACTATATAATATGTTAATGATTAAATTTAATTTTTTATTTAAGACTCACTTTTTACGAACTTTCGATTAAAATCCATAAGTATTTTTAAATATCCATAATTTTATCTACCTATAGCTTTCAGGGTTAGAAGTCAATAATTTTGTAAGACATTGTTTGTTAATTTAATATTAATTTAAATAAAAATCCTCATTATATTTCTTAACACTTTAATAATTTTTTTATCAAAATTCGTTTACTTTCAAACCTTTCTATCATTATCTCATTGAACTCTATGTATAGTCCAAGTTTTGCGTCGTCACAATGCATGCAAAGCTTTTCCCGTTTCTCATTTAATTACCAACGTTAATTTGCGATGATTTGTGTATAAAAAACTGTTTACTCTCCGTATGTAGTGCGATGATGAACACTTGGAGTAAACATATTAAACTTAAAAATATAAGAAACTGGATATATAATAAAAAATAGTATCTTTTTACGACTTGGAATAATCAATATATTATTATTAATTGAGGATAATAGTGTGAATGAAGGCCACTGAAAATTTAAGACTGTTTTACTTTGATGACGCGGTCTTCTTGCGACTGTAGAGCTTTATTTAATAGATTGTTTTTCATCTTATTAGACAGACGCGCTCTGAATATCCTGTACTACACAGTACTTCTTCAGGAATCTTTTTGAGTTAAGTGTAATCCACCTAAAAATATTTGTAATTAATTTATTTATATTGAAATTTTTATCTTTTTATTTCAATTCATTACATTAAAGGTGATCCCCAAAAGTTTATCTAAATTTTAAGCCAATAGAGAGTTAAAAAAATGATATAAAAAATATAGACAAAACTTGGTAATCGCAACCCTGCTGTAGCGGAATAAAATTTATCAATCTTTTTTATTCTTTACTTATAATGTACTTTAATCATAGTTTGACGTTAAAAAAATACCTGTGGAAATAAGACACGTTGGTTACTATTGCAGTGTTGAATCTTATATTGTTTTTGACAACTCCTAAAGATAATATACCTACTAGTAGATCGTCAAACATAACACCGCCACCGTTGTCGGTTAAAAAGTGTTCCTGGAATATTCAATATAATACTTAGCCCTTTCCACGTTAAATTACTTTTTCTTATGCATTTGTATTTATACTAACTTACCGTTGTGTACCGAACGCAGAAGTTTGATGGAGTCATCAAATTACCATAATGTTGTACGCATTCAGACCTCTTGAGAACTACCACTCCTAATTTGAGTAGTAAATTAATATAATTCATAGGCATATGCTGAAATCCCGTATTGAAAAATTATTTAAAATCTAATGTAGATAATGCGATACATTAACATATGTGTTATGTTTCTATACTACAATTTCGTTCTGCCTGGTTAAATAAAAATTCAATATTTATATAACTAAATCATAAATAAAATTCAAAATTTGTTTTCTTTACGAGAAACCAAAAAACAAAGAAAGAATAAGTATGTTGTATTATAAATAAAAACAATATATTTAAAGCTTGTTAATAATGTCATAGTTTTATTAACTTTTTAATATTTTTATAATAATAATTATAATCTCCATTGTTTATGGCATATTAAACAATTGATTTAATTTATTAGAGACATGTGTTCTTCTAAATGTAAACATTATTTCAAGCGCCCTCTAGTATACATATATAACTTAGCTGTAAAACTGTTCACGGTACGTAAGATTGTAAAAGATCATATAAGACAGAGATGGCGCTATTCATAATTAGAACAAATACCGAGCCGCCGCCCCATCCGGCGACCAAAAGGTGAGTGTTTTCTTTGATTGCAACCTCTGGTTCAACTAGAAGTGTTTTTTTAACTGTAGTTTTATAATTTACATTTTTCTGTAAAATAAAAAGTACATCATATACGACTACATACAGGGTAGTTTAAGGTTTTAAGAACTGTTTTGAGTGTCAGAACGTCTGGTTTAAAAAAAATACTTAAATAGTATAGTTTGTATTATGACATCTTGTAATTAATTTTGTATATACATTCTAAAATATTGCTACATAATATTACAGTTAGTCTTTATAAAATAATCTCGATACATTTTAGGTTTATCCTTAATTTCTTTTATAAGAATCCGCTTTAATTACTTTTTAGATAAAGATCTTTTAATAGTTCTGTTCCAGTTCAAATAAAAACTTACTTGAAGCACCAACAAAGCAATATCATTGTCGAGAGCGCTCAGCTCTTTAAAGTACTCATGAATTTTATATTCTGCAACCGGTATTACTTGTCTGAAAAAGAAAATTAATCTAAGAAACGAGTTTTAATAGGTATATATCTGTACAATCGTTACATCCTGATTCATTGAAAGAAGATGTGTGACTCTTTTCTTTATTATTATCATATGTATAAGACTATTGTATGAATTCATTTAGGATTTTATCTTTCAAATTCTTGATTTCGACCTCAGTTTAATACCTACATTGAAAGAAGCATTGCCTCTGAAGGCTGATAGAAAATTAAAAGATATTGTGTGTCTATGAAACAAAAAATGTTTATAATTTAGTTTTGGCGAAACTCTTTAATATATATATTTTTTTCAGAAATCTCTAAAGTCATCTGCTGTTTAGATATAATTGTAGTAATTGTTATTTTTCATTCAACCTAATAGTCTTTATTGGCAATTTATGAACATATAGCAATTATTTTTTAAAGTTGTATGATAATCTTGTTTTATTACTTGTATTAAAACATTCCATCTCTGTAGATTTCAAAGCGAAGTTAGAACTTTTCACTTAAATAAAACCTTTTTGGAAACTTTGTACTCGTATTATCTCAAAGCGTGGAACAGATTTTAGATTCATTAGTATATTGTTAACTAAAATCGATCCAGTCTTTCAAACAAAGACGGAGAATTAAGATTAATGACTTCTTACACAGATTTTTGAAATTTCAAATACTGTGAAATGCATGAAGAGAGTGTCTTTTGTTTGTTCTTGAAGCTACTCATGTATTGTAAATACACGTATACACATGTACATTTCTGTTACCCTAGTACTTTAAAAATCAAAACGCACTATAGCAGTTACACAAAGAAAATAATTTTAACAAATAAATACTACTTCTTCAACCTGACACTTTCCCAGCTTTAGCCAGAGTCTGCCTGTATGTCTATATAAATAAATACTACTAACGAATTAAATTTGATCATACGAGGTACTTTGTAACGGAAATTTATATTCAAATATACAGTGTGACTGGTGAATTACTAACAATATTTAAGGAGAATACTCGGTACATGATTCTCATTCGAATTATGTAAAAAAAATAGGCACTTAATTTTTGACAAAATTTCCGTATAAATAAATAAAGTGTTGACACGCTCCAAGTGTTCCAAGTGTGGACGCCTGCGGCTGCGTGCTGATACAACACCACGCCGCCGCACGCGTGTGTGTGTGTGTGTGTGTGTGTGTGTATGTACCTAATCTGTAGGGTGTTCACACTATGCGTAATTAATTACATAAGTTTTGGTTAACTTTACTTAGAAGTTTATTAATATTTATGTTATATTAATTTTTATTTTGTCAAATATCACGTCCTCAAGTATCGATAGTAATTCACCAGTCACCCTGTATATGTAGATATGTAAAAATAACAGGTTCAAGCAGAATCTAGTTAAATTTCGATTCAAATGATTCAAATACGTTTTGATGTCATAAACTATTATCTACTCAGTACTAACCCAATCCCAGTGATAGTATCGGATCCCATTTTAATATCAACGGTCTCGTCTTTGTGTTTTACGAAGCAGCTAGCCGCTGTTACTACTATCTTGCTGTATATAAGACTCCCTGAACAATATTTTGAACCGTAAACAATTAAAACGTGGAAGGGAACATCTTTTGCTGTTGATACAGGGTCGAAAGTTGCACCGATGTGTATTGATATTCTGTCTGGCAGATAACGGTACGATGTTACTGATTTCAAGAGAAACAAAAGAAATGGTATTTTAAGGACCAATACATCGGTTTCTGTATTGATATGGCGTCCGAATATTAGCAGCATCAGGTTCATCAGTTGATTACCAGTGACATTATGCACTAAAGAAAATAATGAAGACTGTTAATGTAATGGAAATTAACACACACACTCACACACACGCACGCACGCACGTTTTTTAATTTGCACGTATTTAATTTGTTCATAATTAACATATCATATTTAATATCTAAAGGGTCATTAAGTTTACTGTTTACAAAATTATTTTTCTTATTCAAATTTTAATATTCTCGAAATTCCAAAATAAGACACAAGGAAACAGAACAGTCACTGCGACAACAAAAATCATAACAGCACTTAAATTTTGTTTTCATTTGCAAATTGAAATAGGAATAAATAGGCTCTCTCCCCTTTTATATTGTTGAGAATTCATATATGTAGAATCGGTCTGGAAACCGATTTTTTATTTCCTATTCAAAGGCCGCACATTAAAACGCAGTGCACGTCTGCAGTGTACTAATCTATCTATGTATTCAATATTTTAATGAGTATTTCAGCACTTAACCATATTATTTACGACTCTAAATCACCGTGATCAGATATAAATAAAAAGACTTACACCATAAAACGTAAATGAAACGAAAATAGCCGCACTGAAGTCAAATATACAATCGGTATTTTAACTCAGAAAACACAGAATTCAGTAATAAAAGTGTAGCGATAAACAATGAAATTGCTATCGATATCATAAAGCGGTCGCGTTATTGTGTATTAAATTCTTGATCAAACGTTGTCAGCTGTACAAGCGATATGAAGTTATTGTCGTTTACGTAAAAGGAAAATGTTTACCACCTTTTTAGCTGGATTAATATTGTAATTGTTATGCTATTGCGGCTTGTAACACTCGAACACAAGGTTCAAAATCGAAGGTTAAGCAACATTGAGAATGCAA